CCCCGGGGGGAGGGGGGGAGGGGGGGGGGGGGATGGATGAGTGGGGCTGGGGTGGCACGGTCCCTGTCCCCCCCCCGCCCTGCCCTCCATCACCACCCCAGGCCCCCGACCCCACTCACCGGGCCGGCCCCGGCGGTAGGGGAGGTGCAGGCACCCCAGGCCGCAGACGATCTCCCTGTTCACCTGCAGGCAGAGGGCAGGGACACCATGGGTGCTGCCCCACAGCTTGGTGCCCCCCACCCTGGGGACCCCTGGCCTTGGAGGGGGACCCACCTCTAAAGCCCCATCCTGCACACACCCCCCCAGGATCCAGCTTCTTGGCTAGGATTGGGCACCAAGCCGGACCAAGGGTGGTGGGGACCCCCAGGAGGGGCGAGGACCCTTGGGAGGAGCAGGGACCTCCAGGGACCCCTAGGAAAGGTAGGGACCCAATGTGGTGGGGATCCTCAGGAGGGGCAGGGACCCAGGGGTGGCACGGACGCCCAAGAGGGGCAAGGACCCCGAAGTGGCAGGGACCCTGGGGTGTCAGTGATGTTGGGGGCAGCAAGAATTCCCAGGGTGGCAGGGACCCAGGAGGGCAGGGACCCCAGGGTGGGAAGGGACCCCCAAGAGGGACATGGACCCTGAGGGTGGGGGGCAGAGGCCCCAAGGCAGAAGGGACCCTGGGTGGCAGGGACCTTGGGTCAGCAGGGAAGCCATGGGTGGCAGAAGGGACCCCATGGGGCAGGGCCACGTGGGAAAAGGGACCCTTGGGGAGCAGGGACCCCATGGGGGCTGGGACCCCGCATTGTGTGGGTAGCAGGGCTGTGCCCAGCCCAGCCAGCAGGCGCAGGGCACCATGCACCCGCCTCACCTTGAAGGACACCTTCACCCTGTAGTCCACCCCCTCCTTCAGCACAAAGGCCCGGCCCCGCAGCAACTCCAGGTCTCCTGCGCGGGGAGATGGCCCATGAGCCTGGCACCCCTTCCTCTTCCTCCTCTTCCTCCCATCGGTGGCCCCCCCACTCACCTGTCAAGTCCATGGTGATGGGCCCCGGCGCCTGCTCGCACATCAGGGTGAGCCTCGTCACCTGCACGTTGGGCACGCTGGCGTCTAGGGACAAGCAGCAGGGCGCAGACCTTACCCACCCGTACCCAGCCCACCGCCACCAGCACCCAGGGGCTGCCCATTGGCATCAAGGGCCACGGTGCCCGTGGTGGGGGTGCCAGGAGCCGGCGAGTGCCGGGCAGCCCAGGCAGGGTGCAGGAGACCAGGGGCATCTCAGGCCAGCCCCAACCTTGGCCTTTGGGGCAAAACCACATTTCAAAGGGTCCAGTCACCGGCATCTCCCGGGGCATGATGCTCCCTGCCTCCG